TAAATAACGTCTTTGAAATTTGCTTAAAAAATGCTACAAAATTTTGTTCCTACTCAATATATATCTGTATATATTAGGGTATGTAAAAATTACATGCTAGCTATATCTTTATAAAGAAGTTAATGTAAATATTAATCAAGGCCTACAACTTTTTTCAATAGCTGAAAAATGTAATTCAAAATCTAAATCTCAAGTATAATACATATTCCCCATTTAGATAAATATTGAGTTGATAGCTGTTCCTAATGGATGCATTTCTCTTCAACTTTATAACTAAGTACATATTCCTAGTACTTGATGCCAAGTACAGCTAAGCACAAACTTATCCATAAGCTACAATGAATTTCATTTAAAATAATAAAATTAATTTTTCAAATATTTTCCATATATAAAAGTTAGAATATGTTCTTAGACATCAAATAAACACTCAATTTATTTCAGAAACATTTTAATAGGTTCATTTTTTTTTTTTTACTGCTTTAAACTTTATTTTGGTGGATGCATGTGTTTGAGTAAAGGTCATCTATTTTTTTAAAAAACAGTGTGAGTTACATCTATAGGTCTGTGCATTGAAGATTCTTAATAAAGAAGATGTGCCCTCCAGTAAACCTATGTCTCTCTGTAGGGAGAGACCACTATTTGATCTGGTGGGCTTTAAACTGCTCAGCCATAAAGAGCTTCACAACCCAGCAAGGTTCAATTATCTTTTTTAGGAATGTACATCTTCCAGTTCAGATTTTCTTTAAAGCTCATATTTGCTAATTTTTATATACAAAACAAAGTAATTTCAATGCAGGGACAAAAATATTGATATGTTTCAGCTAATAGACAATAACATAGTCTTTCTAGTTAATAAATTTGTGTAAATTTAGTAATTAATCTCCTACACATTTCTTCTGACATGTTCTTTGAAAGCAAATTGCTCTAACCTTACAAAATATAAACACAGTCTTGAATGAAGCCTAAGTTCTTGCCACAAATTTTCTAATGGATTCATTGAAGGCCAAAATAAGGCATTGATCTTCTTGTCTTTAAGCCAAATTTTTCACCATTATGCTTTTGTGCTTAGCATCATTATCATTTTGGAAAGTTAATTGTCATCTTCCAAAAAGGTATCTGGAAGAACAATTCAGATTTTCCTTCAAAATATCATGTTGTACTTCTTCTCTAATGATTTAAAAAAAAAAAAAAAAGAAGAAAAAATGCAGCCCATTTTATTTCTACTAAAGCATTCCCAAAGCATAAGGTTGCCACTCTCGTGTTTTACATGAGGGATGGTGTTTCTAGGATTCATAGCTGCTTCTTTTCTTTCACAATTGCTGTGTCTGATTCTGACCAAATAATTCAGCTTTTTCACTGCAGAAAAAAAATGTACCAAAAAATCAATATCTTTTTCCAAGTAGGAATGTGTAAATTCCAGTTGAGCCTTGTGATGATAATTTTGAGCAAAGATGTTTTTCTTAGACAGTAACTACTTAGAACACGTTTATTGAATACCCTGCTTTCCATGCAATGTGACACATTTACTTCATTGTTTAACAGATCAGAAACAATACTTTTCAGTACAACTTTGAGGTTATTTTTGCATTTGTGAGCAAACTTTCTTTGCAATCTGAGTCTAGCTTTACAACTCTTTTCAAGAAGAGTTGCAACTTTTGGTCTAACAATATTTTTCCATGATTTACTGCACATATTTGGGTGCTGAAAATTGCTTAAACTGCTTTTGCAGCTCCAAAATTCAATTCCTGAATTGCAAGTATATACAATTTGTTGTTTTAAATCCAGACAACTCTTTTACCTTTGCAATGGTTTTAGCATTGATATCTGGCTTGAAGCAAAGAATGTACAATGTAAATGTGTAAATTTTAATAATGAACTATCTTTAATTGAAAAAATTAAACTAATCAATTTATTTGAAGTAAATTCTATAGTTAATTTCAAGAAATTGTTAATGTAGATTCAATCAGCAAGAGTACAAACTGATAAATTTAAATAAATTAAATTTAAATATGCCTTCATTTCCTTCAATGATAACATTATTTATGTGCATCAATTTTTCTAATCTAGAAAAAGTATTAGATTGTAATTATGTCATTTTACATTCTGTAATATAGAAGCAACTCTAAGTAGAAGTTTATGGTAATTTTCTAAGCATAACTTAGATATGGCACAAGGCTAAAAGCGTCAGGTGAAATTGTTCTAACGAAACAAGCTTGCTAATCATTACACCATATCGAAGTGCTCTATAGTGATTTTCTAAGCTGGACTGGGCTTAGATGTGGCACAAGGCTGAAAGCATGGAGCACTGAGTGAGAGGCAAAATCACTATTCAATTGAAATTGATCTAGTGAGTCAAGCTTACTAACCACGTTGATGAACCCGTCCTGGGTATGACGATAAACTGCATCTGTGTCTTGGGTATGACGATAAACTACATCTGACAGCAAGGCCTCTGATCAGGAGGTTTTGAGGAGCATGGAACCACCTCTTAATTGCTGATGTTCCCAGGTCCAACCTGACCCGTGGTGGTAGCACCTGTTAGGGTCCCAGCTATGGGCAAATAGTTAACCTCTAAACTGAGTTCAAAACACTATGAAAGTGTAAAAATAGGTCTTAATGCCAGAAACACATTTTTGTAAAATAATTATTACCAGAAATACATTATTACCAGCAATACATTTTTGAAAAAAAATATTACCAGCAATAAAAAATGTTGTTGGTATTAAATAACCCATTGAGGTTATGCCATAAAACAAAACAAAACAAACCATTGATGAGCCCAAAAAAGAAATCTATGAAGCTTTATTTAACTAATTCAGCTTTAGCACTGAAAACATTATCTTATTACCACATATTCCTGTAAGAGAATTTGATCTGATACTTGACAAAACTAATTCACTGGAGAATCTTGATTGTATATGAATGCATGTATGTAATTCTTCTTAACACTGTCTTTTCGACAAGTAGCAAAATAGTACAACTTTGCTAGGTATCATTTGTAAGCATATCTTATTTAGATTTCCTGGTCAGTTAGCAAATAACTCCTACATAGACTTGAGATATTACATTTAATGGATCTTAAACATTCTTTTGACAATCTTGAATATATCATCATAATAGTGTATTTTTTATTTTTAATATGATGATATATAGAAAGTCAAAATTTTAAATCCTTCATTACATATTTTTCTTCTCCTCTTTTGGCATATTTAGACTGAATGAGCCAAGAATCATAACTGCAATTGATCTTTAAAAATGAAGAAATGTGTGATACATTTATTTTCTTGAGCTAAACAAGAAAATACTGCAGCACACATTTCTTCATTATATTTTTATGTTCAACAATAAGAGTGTTTGATGAATTTATAGTTATAATAAAGAAAAAAGTTTTGAAAAATCTTTGTTTCCAGGATTTCAGGAGCAATTCTAGATTGTGTGACAGTGTATTTGTGAATCTTAAGAAATATTGTTGAATTGCTGAAACAGATATTCGTTCATGTACTATGTCCTTTCGGGATGTGACCAATCATGGCTCTCCACAACTTCCTATCTTTTGTAGCTCTTAGTATGTTTATCTTTACTATCCTTCTGACTCCTTATTCTGCCATCCATTTACACAAACTCATTAGTTACTCACTGTTTCCTTCTGTCCTGCTTGCCTTCAATATGTCCTGTGGGCATTAAATTCTCTAAGTCCTCTTTCCTATTTATGTGACTTCTTTCTGATTCTAAGTATAAGTGTTCTTTTTGTTCCCTTTTCCTTAAAACTTTCTTAGTCCATTCTATTCTCAGCATCCTTCAGTAGGATTATATTTCTGTTACTTCAAGTATTTTCTTCTTTAAGGAAATTGTCCAGCATTCACTCATATAGAAGGATTGATATTAGCAAACAGTTCAGAACTCTTATTTGTTTGTAATGAAATTTTCTTTTTGAAAGGCATCTTTTGCTATTCCAATGTACCTTTGAATTTTGGTGCTACATTTCCTTCATATGCCAAAACATTTCTCAGATATTTAAATTTTTCTACTTGCTTGATTTTGACATCTCCAAATCATAGCTTGCATATTGGGCTGTTTCAATTTCTCATGACCATACATTCTGTCATCTTATAATTGATGGTTAGTCTTTTCTTCTCACTTTCCTTTACTACATTGTCTAGAAATTGCTGCAGTCTTCTTTCTGCGTCTTCCATCAACATAGTATCATTTGTGTATCTTATGTTGTTAAGATTGTGTCTATCAGTAATAAATCCTGGTAGGACTTATTTCATAAATATATCTCTAAAATAATTTAGATTTTATCAGGAGAACTCCCAACTAAAGTAAATTTTTTTAAATCCTCTTTTTATACAAAAAAATCTAATTTGAGCTCAAAATGTGAGCCCTAAATCTAACAAGACAAATTAGCCAAATAAAATTCATGACCTGCAAACAAATGATAATTTGTAAACCCTTTTTGATAAATACTGTAATTTATGTTATTTACTTTTTGTTTATTACAGTGATCACTAAAATGGCTTGGGAATTTATTGACCAGGCCATTAATTTAGTCCATTGAAACCTTTTAAAAACAACTGCTATATGTTCTTAATCTTTCTACATAGCTAGATCCCTGATTCTTTGCTTCCTTAACAAAATATATTACCGTCACAGAAACATGTAAAGTTTTAATCAAATACTCAGTCTATAAATTTATATAAACTTTGTTAAAGCTTCAACTAGAACAGAAATCAAATAGTAAACCTTAAGAGACTGTGATAGTTTTACTGATTCATGACTAGAGAATGAAATATATTTAATAATCTTCAATTCAAAATTCTAACCCCTGAGACTGATATAACCAACTTCTTAGATTTGTACAAAATGATAAACTATATAGTATGGTTCCAGGTCAAACTGAATACAGTGGATCTACATTCCTTCTCTCCATATCTGAGTGTATTTACCAATAAAAATAATAAATCCAAGTAAATAAAAAAAAAACAAAAGTATTTACTTACAGCTGCAGTAATCTTGCAGTTGCTGGAATTGAGCTGGACTGAGCTTTTGCCACTGCATAGCCATTCTATTTAATACAGCAGCACTTCAGAGAATTCAGTCGGTTGATATCCTTCACCAGAGTAATGTGGGTGCACAATTCCAATGTTATATTTCTGTCCACAGTTGATTACTTGGTAGCCGTTTTATTTCTTCCCAACAATATATACCAAGTGAAAAACAGTGGGTTAAATGTAGGAGCCACAGAATAAATATAAAAGAGCAATGAAAATGCTGAAATTACGTTTTTTTTCCTCTTTTCTATCCAATTTAAAAAAGCGATAAGGTTTATTATGTTGCAGGAGGAGGTGTTCAGATGTAAAGCAAATTTTTCCTCTTTTCCAATAAAAAGACTTTAGCTGAAAAAAGACTACACAATGTTTTTAATGCTTAAATCCTTTCCAAATGCATTATTTCCATATTAGGAATGATTTCCCTCGAAATACATGAGAACTCTTCTGCCATATGTACCTCCAGTGGATCTACAGAAAAGAAAAGAAAAAAAGGAGCAAAGTGAGAAAAATGAAATATTGAAATTATTAACAAATATTACATCAATTTTTTATAACAAAATGAAAAAGAAATAAAAGAAATTACTAATCAATCAATAAAGTTTTCTTTTTTTTTTTTTGAAAAGATAGTTTTATACTGATTATTATATATTCTACCAACCATAATATATGCAAGTTTGTGTACTTTAGTATATGAATATAATAATTTGTTTTCAATTGAAAATGAATCTAAGAAATTATAATTGGAAATGTTTATAAAAGCTAATGATGAAGTCAGAATCACATTTTCCAGTCAAAAAAAAAAAAAAATCTTTCGAATAATTTTAAAATTTATATTAACAATTTTTTTTTTTCTTTTTAATGCCATGTTCCTTAAGATTCATGTTCACAGATTCTTTCTCTTTATTATCTGTGAATTGCCATGACTGCTTAGGAAAGATAGCAGAGTGGTGGTTTCCTGTTGCCATTTCTAATATTTGAATTCAGAGTTGTAGTCTACCCTGTTATTTAATCCACAGTTGGAGTTAGGATGAGAAGATGAAGTCATGTCTTTTCAAAGGACATTAGACATTTGAAATGAATAAAATAGGATTGAACTTGACAATTCTCCTTTCCACACCAATAATTGTTATACTACCTGTATATATTGGCTTGCCTAAAAATGTTGTATTGTGCTTGAACTTTGGGCAAGAGAAACAATGAATTTTAGCTAATTTCATTAAAAAAAAAAACAAAAAAAACAGATCATTTTTCATTACTGCATTAAATTTTGAAAAAAAAACTTCAAATTGGTATATTTTTGTTTATTGATTCTAATATTGAAGATAAAAAATAAAGAACATTTTTTTATATTATGTTATTCTTATTTAGGAAAAATTCTATTCAAAAACTCAAAGAGATTTGTACAGTTTAAGAAAAACATCTGGGTTGGGAAGGTTTCACTCATTTTCTGTATTCGCCACCATCTTTACATGACCATTTATTCTGGACTTTAAAAATTGTCTTAATGAAAATATTTGAATTTTCTAGAAGACAGCAAAAGACTCCAGGAACTGGGTAGATGAAATTATGTAACTGTTTGAATGATGGCAAAAGATAGTGAAGTAAAAGAGTGCATGTCTTGTTCAAAAAAGTTAATGTGAAAAATAAAACAAAAATCTTATCTCTGTTTTGTAAGCTGAACAAATGTTGTCATACACAAGAAAAAAATTACATTCTTAGACACATGAACAAAACAACTTTTTAGGTTAACCAATACTAACATCGATATAAATGAACTTTCATGGAAGATGTGCAAAAAATATAACTCCAGATTGAATAAAATCATAAAATTAAGTATTTTAAAATCATGATTAAATTATTAAAATTCCCTTAATTCCAGTAGTGTCCCATTAACATTTTCCTCAGAGTGTGAAACAGTGTCCAAAATTACACAAATTCAACATTGGCTGAAATTTAACTACATATGGTAGGCATTTATTTATTGGGATAATAAAATATATTTTGCTTACATTCAAATTAAATTGAAGGGTTAAAATATGAAAAATACTGTTAAAAGAATGTATATAAATACTTTTTTTTTAAAAAAGGAATTTAGTTTTATTATTAAATACTCCAAAGACATTTCCAAGTAAATTAATCAATTAATTCAATTGATCTAAAACATACAAGGGAATACTCAAAAGTTCTTGGCCTGACCAAGAAGCACTTACCAAATATTTGGTCAGAATTTATGAAGTGGGCCAAGGCTCAGAACTTTTCAGTATCCTCTCGTATTACTGAAATAAATTATTTCAAAATAATCCATTCAATTAAATCTGAAGTAGATGAAAAATCATATGTCAATATATTTTTGATAATAAAGACTGACATCCTTTTATACCATATTAATATTACAGCAATGTTTACCAGATGAACAAGACTTTCAAGGTAAAATATTTCAAAAGTAAGCAACACACACACACACACACACACACATTCTCCAAACAAGTTTGATTAAGAAGAACTGACAAGGTCTGTTTGTTTTATTAGAAAAAAATGAAACAGTAGTCAGTTCTTTTAAATCAAACTTATTTGGATGAATACTTGCAGAGCATATATCTCAAGACATACCCCATCAATGTTTTTTAAAATGAGACCATGTAATATACATGGTTTTAAGAAGTGTGTGCATGCATTTAAGAAAAATAAAATGTTTATCTGCACACAAAGATAGGAAAATAATGATTAGAACTTACCAATTCTGCTTTGAAAAGCAAATAAAAAGTGAAAAGTCTATACAATTAAAAAATAATGACACCTAAAAGTGACTTTTTCTTAGCTGTCGATACTTTGTTAATTTCAATAAAATAAAATCATTTGAATACAATGCAACTACTTTAATTTTCATAATACATTCTGAAAATTTTCTAATCAAAATTTTAGAGAGAAAAAATTTATTACATTTAACAATTCATTTGGCAAAATAAGAGAAACAATAAAAATTTCTTCATAAACTGCAATAATTCTGATTACAATGTTGGCAGCTATATTTTTTAAAGATAAGGGTATTTAAATATATATTTTAAATAAAAATTACATTTATTTTGAAAGAAAAAAATCTTTTCTCAAATAAAAGAACTAAAATAGCAAAAATTTGAAAGTCTCATACACATTTAAATATCAAATTGTAAATTTTTCTTCACTTGATATTCCTGTTGATATCACTCTTAGAATATTTTCAACACAATTTCTTTAATATCTCCTCTTCATCCCTATATTATCAGATTGCTAATAATTTAACAGAAATTTAAAGCTTCTAAAAAGTATTAAAATTGAAGAAATAAAATGTATTTTTAAAGCAAAATTGGGAACAAGTGTTACTAAGGATGCAATTATTTTTATATATACTTACTCATGTAAATATTTCTTTTTTTCCCTCTTGATATATTTTTGATATACATACAAAATATTCTTTATGCAGAAATTTCCAAACAGAATGCTTCAACATTAATAATAATACAGAATTTAAGAAAAGATGCTGTGAAGTAAATGATGCATCTGTGATTGCAATAAAAAGTATTATGCAATTCTTTAGGACTGTTGAAATCACCAGCCACTTGTACTAACTGCAAAATTTGAATCAATGCAATGGGCTTGTAGGCAGTAACCCTGAGAAGAGATCAGGAAGACATAAAAGGCAGTCCAGATAACTTACAGGTAAGTGGTTATATGAGCTATGGGTGTATTCCTTTCTTTTGATTTTATTTATTTATTTTAATAGGAAACTATAATTACTGATATTTAACATAGAATATATAGCCTATACATAAAACATTTTAGTCATGGGTAACTGTGGAGCAAGTACCTGGTATTAACAGTAGTGAACTAAATTTAAGCTATTAAAACAACAATAATACAAAGAAAAAAAGATTAAAAACACAGCATCTTATCAAGAAAAACAATGACAATAAAAAAGAAAAAAAAACAAGAAGAGAAATATCTTGCTAAAATTAAAAAAAAAAAAAAAAAAAGCTCAAGCTTAAAGAAAAGGTATTTAAAAGTTATTAAAAGCCTTGATATTGAAATTTACTTTAACAACCAGAAAAGATAAAATTATGATCTTTACTATCAGTACAAGAACTAACATCTACTTAAAATACTAAACAAAAACTTGCCTGTGTGTATATACATACAAGAGTAAAATAAAATGCATATGGCCAATTCATTAGATTTCTACTTTTCATGATCAGTGTTTAGATAATATTCCAGGGCTTTACAAAAAAATGAATCTCTAAATCATATTTAGAAGAAAAATAAGAAATTATTGTTCTTTTAGGTTTAACTAGACAACTCAGTGATTTGGAGAGTCACCCTTTCAAAGAAAATTATGATGGAAAAAAAAGATTATCTTTGAATCTATTCCCTCACAGATTACATGAACTTCTGTGTATTATAGCTGAAAGGGCAACTAATTTTGGGGGATTTTTACTCATGTGAAAATAAATAAATTAGGTATAGTGCTCTATAAGTAGCATTTAAAAGTCATTTCCATTACAAAATAGTTTTTCTTTTTTTACCAGTTCAACACAAAAATAATTTAAAAACACACACAATATTTTCATTAATTTTTGAGATGAGTAATTGTTAATATACATTTTGATTTATTCAAACTATTGGCTGAAATGCGTCATCCATAATAATCAAGATGAGAACAATAGTTTGAATGAATCAAAAAAATAGGAAGAAATTTATATACAAACATTTTGTGATATTAAAATTAAATTTAATAAAAAAAACTTTTACATTTATGAGACTGAAAGACATTTTTCTCATAAGATCATAAATAGAAAAACTGTTTTATATATAATAGAATATATAAAATTTTATATGTCCATATCAAATCACATGTAAACCCTTTTGGTGAAGTATGCACTATAAGATCTGATAATAATTGTTGGCAGCATTAAGTATAACATAAAAACAACAACATGCATCATATGACTAAATGGGGGTCAGAATATATAAAAATGAAAA